ATTTCAAGTCTCAGCAGAAAAGCCAGCATTGACCATGGATGGAAAAAAACATAACATTTATCAAATAAACAGAGAAGCTTTAGCTGGAGCAAGAGGAAGTTTTGAAGTGCAGCAGAGTAAGCAAAGGCAGGCCCTCTTCACCACAGAGTGACACAGGAGCTGGATGGCACAGACATCCTGACAGGCTTGGAAAGGAGGAGGGCTTTGAAAGGCTGTGCTCAGGGAGAATGTGACTGGTACCTCCCTCCACCAGTGCCCCAGGTGTGAAGCTCCTTCCTCAGCAGTGTCATTCCTGCCAGGGAAGAACCACAATGCTTCCAGAGCTTCCTCAAGCCTCCTCCAGGTAAGGATTTCATTCCATTCAGCAGCCACAAGATTATCAGGACTCAAGTATTTGTCAGTGTTCCCTGTGAGGCCATAGCACAGCATGCCCAGAGAAGCTGTGGCTGTCCCTGGATCCCTGGCAGTGTCCAAGGCTGGGCTGGATGGCGTTTGGAGCAGCCTGGGACAGTGGGAGGTGTCCCTGCCAGGGCAGGGGTGGCACTGGATGGGCTTTAAGGTCCCTTCCAACCCAAACCATTCTGGGATTCCGTCACATCACACCAACCAAGGAGCTGATCTAGCTGAACACTGACCCTATAAACTGGTTTTGTTAACAGGATTTTTTGCTTCCAACTGTATTAGYTCCCTACAGAGCCATGAGAACCCAAAGCCACCACAGCAGGGCTGGGAGATCCATGGATGGGAGAAGTCCCTGGGCAGGGAGCCTGGGCAGGGTCAGTGCCCAGCTGGGGCTGATCTGACATTCCTGCTCCTGGATAAAMCAAACCTTGTGCCATCAGAGCAATATCTTCCCCCCCAGATGACGTGGTTAACTAACACTGATTTATGTGCTCCAAACCCAGGACATTCCTTGGAAGTTGGATAAACCACACACAAATTGCAAGCAATGCTGGAAGAGTCTGTAGAGCCTCTGTGCAGTTATGGACAGAAATATTTATTGCATTTGGCGTGAAAGCTGCAGTCTGGGAGCAGAGAACACAACTGGGTGAGCACTGCARCACCAGGGAGCAAGCAAATTCCTTCTTTTCCTTTCCCAATAAATTATTCACAAAGGTGAACAGCTGTCATGCTGACATTTCAGATCTGAAATATAGTTAAGAGCAAGTCATAACTAAGGCAAAGTGAATGAATGTCAGAAAGTTTTTGGTTTTTTTTTCAAATTTCAGATAAGCTCTTTAGCCCTGGGGTTAATCAGAGCTCAGGAGCTCTGCTCCCAGTCCAACTTCTTCCCTGAAAAATGTCTCTTTGTGCAGTCTCGCTGTAAACATGCACAGTAAGGGTATTTGTATTTAATGTCATTTCATGGGGCACACCTTTAATTCATGGCCCAGGGTAATCCAAATACCAGTGGCCCCTCACAGAATCTTTGTCTTCYTTTATTAAGCAACACCAGTTCTCTTTAACCTTCACATGTGGTCACAGCCAAGGATTCCAGACTGCAACCACAGAGTCAGAGAATCCTGGAATGGGTTGGAAGGAATCTCAAAGYCCACCCAGWGCCACCCCTGCCATGGCAGGGACACCTCCCACTGTCCCAGGGTGTTACAAACCCCRTCCAGCCTGGCCTTGGGCACTTCCAGGGATCCAGGGGCAGCCACAGCTTCTCTGGRYACCCTGTGCCAGGGCCTCMMCACCCTTCCAGGGAAGAATTTCTTCCTAATCTCTAACCTAAATCTTTCCTCTTGTAGTTTAAAATCATTCCCATTCTTGTCCTATCATTATCTGTCCATGTAAAAAATCACTCTCCTCTGTTTTATAAGCCCCCTCCAGGCACTGGAAGGGGCTCTAAGATCTTCCCAGAGCCTTCTCTTCTCCTGGCTGAACAGCCCCAGCTCTCCCAGCCGGTCTCCATGGGAAGACTTCATGAATACACACAATTATTGCTTCAAAAGGTAAAAGTATTTCAAGTACAGGAGGCTGGCTGTCAGCAGCAGTGCTGAGCTGGACCCCAGTGCCTCTGGGTAAAAGCTGTTCTTTCCACAGCCAGCACCATTTCTATTAYCTCTTCTCTCTGCAGAGCAGTTCAATATTTAACAAATTTAAGCRTTTTATGTTCTCAAGCAGAAGCAGAGAAGTTGTATCTTGCTCACAGCCACAAAACCCAAGAGACCCAAGAGCATCCCCCAAAAGCTTCAGCTCTTAGGAAATAAAAGGCAGGAGAGAGAGAATCAGGCACCAGCTGGACCCARCCCTGGGGTTCCTCCAGAGCTCCTCCATACGTGCCCAAATCCCTGASAAATGACCAAAGGCACATCACAGGGAAGTTTATTTTGCATCAATTCCACGGGCACTGGAAGCAGATGCATTCCACACAAACAGGATGTGTCTCCTGATGGAAATCTGTTTGGAAATCAAAATCCTGATTGCTTCATTTGTGGGGAGAGGGAAGGTGGATCAGAAACATAAACACACACGGAAATTACAGAGCTATGGATTCCAAGTTCAAATACAAACCCACAGAGATTATATCCAAGAACAAGGAGCAGCCAGAACATCCCCGRCCACGTCCTGTGACAGAAGCAGACACCTGCAGCTGCACACTGCTGACTAAAAATTCAACCCTGAACCATTCATCTGCCTGCCAGCACATGTTTACCAAGTACTGGGACTGCCTTTCCYCCCCTCAACCCAAAAAGAGAGGTTATATTTAGAATCTGCACTTTTATTTTGCAGACTGCAGGACGTGCCACGGCCTGTGCGTCCTCCCCAGTGCCTCAAACCTGACCAGCAGCACTCACAGCCCATACTGGGATTACTGGGGGAGGACAGGGGGAGGACAGTGTTCATGGTGCAGCTGCAGGAGAATGGGGATGGAACAGAGATTATGGCAGGAGCACGGAGAGAGAATTTCCTCTGAGATGCGGGGACAGATCATGGCCGGGCAGTGAGGAAGAGGAGCAGGGTCACTGCTATGGATAAATGAAGCAKTGAAGGAGGGAGAGTTTCACAGAATCATGGAATGGTTCATTTATCCACAGCAGTGACCCTGCTCCTCCTCCTCCCTGCAGGGACAGGTCACAGCCAGGCAGTGAGGAAGAGGAGAAGTGTCATAAATGAAGCAGTGAAGGAGGGAGARTTTCACAGAATCATGGGATGGTTKGRGTTGGAAGGSACCYTAAAGCTCATYTCATTCCACCCCTGCCATGGGCAGGGACACCTCCCAYCATTCCAGGCTGCTCAGAGCCCCAGTTCCAGTTCCACCAGAACAGTATCCAGTGAAACCATTCATCCCACTCCTTCAGACACCCCACGTGCAGGGCTGAGTGTTTGTGGTGGGTTTGTCCCCCTTCCCCAGCCAAGTAACAAGAGCCCAAAATACATTTGGCAGCATCAGGGTAAGAAGAGGCTCTGYTGGTCTGTTGGATCCCCCAAAAACTGCAGCACCACAAAGATCTCAGCCATGTCCAGCCTCACCCACCAGGGCCAACCTGCCCCGTGCCCCAGCCACACTCCTCCAGGCTCTACTCACCCATCTGCTCCACAATTTCAGGTGGGAAAACTCGAGAAGCAAAAGCTCTTCGGAATATATCAGAGAATTCTTTGTCCAGGCCTCCAATGCCCATTTTCTCAAAATTCCAGTCTGGGTTGATGATGGACTGCCGGTTYTCCTTGGTCTTTGATTTCCCTGCAAAACCCAAGGAATAGTTTCAATCCAATCATCATTCAGCAGTTTCAGAATCCCATCACACACAGACACCAGAACAGCTCAGAACCTGGTGCTCAGTTTCAAACACTGGCCTGTGACAAGGACATGAGGACAGGACCCAGAGACCCAGCCTGGGGGATGATTTTTCCCAGCCTTCCAACCATACAGTTCAGGGGTTTCTCCAGCCAGGTGCTGCTCCCATTTGTATTGAAGGACCCACAGCAGATTTCCCTGTCACAAATTCACTCAGGCTGGTGCCCCTGGACCCACATAACCTCAGCACCCAGAGTGCCCAGTGAGCACCCAGCTGCTGCCAGAAGAGTATCCAACCCTGTCCAGGCCACCTGGGATGACAATGGCTTTGTCCTGCATCCTCCTCAATCCTGAATTTCCAATCCCCTCCTGCTCGAGCAGCAGCTCACTGCTCCAGTTCCACTTCCACTGGAAGGGAACACCTCCCACTGTCCCAAGTGTCCAGCCTGGCCTTGGGCACTGCCAGGGATCCATGGGCAGCCTCAGCTGCTCTGAGCACCCTGTGCCAGGGCCTCATCATCCTCACAGGGCCATTCCTTCCCAATATCCAATCCTGCCAAACAACAAGGTGCATTTTGCTGCTCTGTCCCACAAACTCTTCCACGTTGAGGCAGACGATGAATGAGCAAACAGCAGCTCTGTGTCAGCTGAAGGAGGCTCTTTAACCCTGCTCTAAACACATCTGGAATCAATATTTCAGGTCCAAGGGCAGCAAAACAAAGCAGCAGGAACGTGGCTCTGGGTGAGAGACAGCCCTTGGGACACAGAGCACCCACAGCCCTGCAGGGAGACCCATCCACAGCTCCCCTGTGTTTATTATCCTATTTTTAAGACTCCAGACCCCTCAGACAGGTCTGTTGCTGYTCCCACAGAGCTTGGCCTACACTCCCCCCTTCTGGCTGCACCTCAGCACAGTAAAATCCTGGCAGAGCGGATTAAAACCTCATCTGTTGGTTTTGTAACACAGTTTTATGCTAAATAAAGGAATAGAATTGGCTTTTTAAAGAATTATTACAATTCTTCTCTATTGAAACAATGCAGGCCCTTTAGTGAAGGCAGAGCTCAGTGACACTCACTTCACTTTCATCTCCTCTCTCACAATTTAATTATTCAGAACTTTACAATTCCCCAGAGCCCAACAAAGCACTGAGCAGCTCTGCCTCAGATCAATGAGGAGATTAAATGAAGCACCAATTTGACAGAAGTAAATCGAGGCACAAGCAGCTCTTTTGTGTTGTCTGAGGACAATGAAACAGAATCCTGGGGATGGGTCCCTATCCCAAATCCACAGGAGCACTCCTCAACCCTACAGGTGCCAGGAGGGAAATCACAGGGTATTGTCCCAGCCCCACACTGAAGGGAACGTGGCCCTTCAGGGCAGCACMAAACCYCAGCCCCATTGATSCCTCAGGATTTCARTTTCTCTRTTTCCACGTCTCTGTAMCCCTGKRATTSTTCAGTGTTTAACTCCASACTCCWCAGACAGTKCYSAGCTCCTGCTCTCCCATTTTYACACAAAACAATTCCTCTGCAGCCCCAAACTCAAGGACACCTCCCTGGGCCAGGCCCCAAGAGATGGAAACAACAGAGAATTGGGGGGAGCCAACTTGGAGTCAATGACTGCATTGGCTGCAGCTGCAATTGGAGGATTCAGCAAATCCCGATGTGCAAATGGACAAAAGTGAGAAAGGGTGAAAAACCCGTGAGCCATTGTCCATTGTGGGGTGGGACTGCACTGGATGCACCTGAAGGCCCTGCAATCAACACAACTGCTTTGGATTCTCTCAATTCTGTCTCTGATTTAGATAAGTCCATGAAGGCATCACCTTCCACAAACTCCTGCAGCTGAATTCTCCTCTGCTAAGGGGCTGCTACCCTCAGATGGTTCATTCCTGTAACAAACACAGCACTGAGCACTCACAGCCAGGCTGAGCTGTGCTCCAAAGCCTCCTGCAAAAACAAACCTCATGGTTCACCCTGAGCCCCACCCCAGCAGCCTCCTGATCTGTGGAAGAGCAGCAGCAAAGGGAGGAGTTTCCTTAATTCAYGAACTCTGGGAGGAAGGAACGAAACAGAGAAGAAAAATAAGAAAAAAAGAAAAATAGATGTGTCTGTTCAGCCTTGAATGACAGGCAGAGAAGAATCAAAGCCACACCATCAGCAAGGGAGGGAGCTGGAGCTTGGAATCACCCACCAGTAATACTGGGAAGTAAAGGAGCAGCCAAAGGAACAGCAGGTGTCCCT